ATTTATTAAAGTATTTTGAAGAAGACAAAATACATCGTAAGGAGAATCCGTGTACACGGGACCATGATATTTGGAATTATTGAAAAATTCCCATGTGAGAGAATAAAACCTTTTATTCGTGTAAAACGAACCTGTATACATACATTTAGTCGTCTTATATACGTTCTGATTCTTTCGAAAAAGGTTGATGTAATTTGTAACAGATCCAAACCACAAATTGATTTTTAGCCATTAATTATGAGATTGGAATACACATGATGTTACAAAATAGAGTAAGGGGCCGTTTACCAAAGATTTATCCGATAAGTGCTTACCGGTAAAATTCAACACTATTACTTACTTACCGGGTAAGATTTTACTCCACGAAAACAACACCGTATGCAATAATCTACCCGATAAGGAGTCGTCGTCAAAACTTACCGGGTAAGACTCTTGATCATTGTCTTGCTCGGATCGGGTAAGATTTTTGGTCCTTATCATATTCATCCGGTAAGGTTATGTGATTTGATAAGCACTTACCCGAATAAGCGTCTGGTAAACGACCCCTAAGTGAAAGATATCTACACCCAAAATCTTTGCCAAAGTGGACAATGGTTAAAACCTTAATAGTGGGAGATGGTCGGCGGTGATCAGCGGTGATTCACATCGACAGTGGTCGACGACGGTTATATTGAGTTTTATAAGATTATCGTATATTGAGTTAAGGGCATATTTGGTATTATGAAGATAGATAATCTAATTCCATCAAAATACCATGTAGTTGCTAAACAATGTTAAATTCATTTATTTGTGGAATTTGTAGGATTTTGAAGATTCTTTTCATGAAAAATAATGAACCAAACCAAGAAATGAAATTTGGCCAATGGAATTCAACATTCCAATTCTATCAAATTCCTTCAGAATTTGCGAACCATTCGCTCCCTAAAAGTCAGACATCACAATTAGCAAAAAAACCCTTATGTTTTTTTTGCTTAATCAACATAATGAGTTTATTAACTGATTAAATCAGTCTGATTTGCATCAAGCAATAAATTCTGTTCTTTTTTGAATAAACAATCAGACTGAATAAATCAGACTGATTTAAACTCACTATCAAAAGACAAAGTTTAGCACAAAATCAAAATCAATTTTGTTCTTGTTTGAATAAATTATGATTTAAACTCATTCAAAAGTACCAGGAGATCACAAGTTCAAATCCAAAGAGGAATAAAAATCCCCTTGTAGCCACAGAGGTTCAAATGCGGTGACTCCGCGCTATCTGTAAAACAGATGCTCGTCCTGGGATTAGTCAGCTCGCATAGTAGGTTGGATATCCAGGTTAATTTAAAAAAAATCTCAAAACTAAACATCAACAATTTAGCAAAATTATTATCCGTTTACATAAGATAAATTTAAAAATAACATTGAGATTACGTCAAAACCATCAACACCGTATAAACTGAACAATCTCCAAACTTGAGGTTTTTCTACGTATCGCTATCGTACACCTCTGACATATTTGGTCCAAACTTGAGATTCGACATGATGGGAAGAAACAAGAAACGGAATTCGTCAAAGCTTCAACCACAACCAAGAGATTGAACACGAGAGTTGGAGATTAGAGTCTTGATTTTTGGGTTTCGTTCTTGAAGATCACTGTAGCTTGTGATAAGATAAAGGGACGACAGAAGGAGGATCAGATAAAGAAAGGTGACACGTTGCTATAACAGATAGACTTTTGAAAGTAGAATGTCTTAATAAAAAATAATTTGAAAGTATTATTATTATAATAAACAGATATTATAATAAAATTTTCAATTCTAATAAAGTGTTTGATTGTGATTTGCATCCATTTCTTTCCTAGTTGGGTAGCACAATGCATGGTGTAGTTTGAGTCCAGTGAATCCCACTCAATTCCTTTGATCCTTGCTTTGTAAGTTTTGGATGATGTTATGTTGACATATCAAAAAAAAAAAATTGATTAACCTGGATATTCAACCTGTTATGCGAGCCGACTAATCCCAAGGCGACCACCTGCTTTGCAGATAGCCCAGAGTCATCGTATTTGAAACTCCGTGGCCACAAGGGGATTTTTATTCCTTCTTGGATTTGAATCTGGGATCTCCTAGTACTGTTGACCTTTGGAGTCAAGCTCAAACCAATCAGACACCACCCTTGTGGTTTTGACATATCAATTTCAAATCATATTTTAATAAAAGTCGAAAGTAAATATCGTATTTATCATCTGTAAAAATCTAAACAATGTATTGTTCTCAATCATCTGAAACAGAACAACGCATCATAAAGATGGCACCAACGCTTTGTTCAAATGCATGAAATCAAAACAAGATATAAGACAAAACCTAATCGTTATTATTTTACTATCATGTTCGAAATCCACAAAAACCTGACTAAACCAACCAACCTATCTTGAGATGACCCAACCGAACCGAACCGAACCGAACCGAACCGAACCTAACCAAAAGCAACTTAATACTTAATTGAGTTGTTAAAATCTTGAAACTATAGGCATTGGGTTGGAATCAGTTAGGACCATTTGAGCTCCACCCAACACAATCTGATAAACTCAATATACAACCAGAACAGAATATTTTTATTTTTAGATTTAGAATAAATAAAAGTAAGAAAAATAGAAGATGATATTTTGTTGAATTGAATATCTATACTATCTTATAAACCAGATTTATCAAAAGTTTTAAAAACAAATTTTAATGCACAAAATCTCAAAAACAACTAATAATGCACTAAGTACTACTATTTTATGCATTTAGTCTTAAACTCTCTTAATCTACAATTAAAATAACATATAATACAAGTTACCAATGCACATTATTACCTTTTATTTTCATGTTTCCAAGATACTTTTAACACATTTCACTTATGTCTTCACCCTCTCATACCTCTATGTATTCTCCTCATCCCCCAAGGTGAGATTCAAACTGATATTCACCATAAATTATTAAAAATTCTCTCATTCATCTCTCATTCAATTACTCTAGAACTCTCGGTCCTGCTCTCGATCTCTTGATTCTTTGCTCTTGGTGTAAATCGAACACATTTGTAGAGTCGTTTAAATATGTTGGATTTTAAATTGTTATTCAAAAAAAATTCATCGATAGACTGTAATTGAAACCATAACTCTTATTTATTCAAATTGTATTAATATGTAAAGACCAAGTGTAACTTATATCATCGTTAAATCTCCTCTAATAAAACCAGTGAAATTTCAAAATCATTAACATTCAAGGCTTCCGCCGCATTGCACGGGTACATAACTAGTGTATAAATAAAAAGGAAAAGAAAAGATTAGGTAAGAAACTAGTGTCGGTCGGGAATCGGTTCGCCACATGCCAACGGTGTGGCTTCGCTTCGCTTCTCTTCTATTGGTGGAGTCCCCACCCAAAGATGAGTTAAAAGCTACCCGTCCATTTCTCCTACTTTTCTATAACCAATCATCAACCATCCTTTTCTTTTTTCACTTCCCTTCAAGGACACTTTCGTAATTTACTACACACCTCCGGTAGGTATTTACCAGGTAAAAAACGCTTACTCACAGACGATCAAGAATGTTACACAAATGAGGGTTATAACTCTACTGATAAGTGTTTACCTGATAAGAGTTTGGTAAACAAGCCAAAGTGAAGCTAGAAAGACCACAAATCGGATCAGCGTGAAAACTCGACGATGGAAGACCAACGACTGAATCCATCAAGCTAACAAGACAAACAAATGCTTCTCATGCCGAAGCCGATCAAGTTTTCACACTTTTGTCCTTTTTGATGTGGACATTCTTCACGGTTATCTTGACATACTTTTATTATTCATCACGTAATTAAAGGACGCCATGAATGGCTCATAGCAAAGCAACAACCAATGCACCGACAACCCCGTCATATGAAACGGGTTCGATGTAATCCTTGAAAAAAGAGTACGGAATTGGCTCTATATCTGAGTGTACGCCGAAAAAGACATTAGTTGTGGTCAGGTCAACTTCGTTCAACTTATCGTGAGATGTCAAGTTTCCAAAGGTGTGACATGCATGACTTGCTATAAACGTCTCCCATGCACTGTGCGCTTTTAAGATTACTGCACGCGATTCATCTCCCAATCAAAATCGACGAACCTTGAAGACTCTGTGCGTTTATCTTCGTTCTCAAGAGTGTTTTCGATGAGTTGTTCTCGAGAGTTCTAGAAGGTATATACATTTGTCATTCAAGTAGATTGCACTTAGGTTAGGTTTTTTCTATCCTAATCCCACAACAATCTTGTAATTATTTGATTTTATAAAGAAATTGTGTATCTGTATTCAACCCCCCGTTCTACAAATACTTGTAGTGAAGTCGTTCATCCCTACCAGGACCACAAGACCTTTCCTCGACCCCGATTAGTAGAGAAGTTTCCATGAAGAGGGACCATGTAACCTAAGTGATTCTGACAATTTCCACAGGGTACATGCACGCTTAAAAAGAAGAAAGAAAACAGAAACAGAAACACAAAGAAAATCATTATGCAGCAGAAAAATGACTGAAGCATGGATGCTCTTTTACATGCTTTCAGAAATCATGAAGGACACCAAACAGCTAACTAACCAACCCCTTATAGGCTTTTCTCAACACCCAGCATGCCAAAAATATGCTTCTACTCACTTGTACTTCCATGCAGTAAAAATGGTGCCTTGCTCAAGATTTGGCCATGCCCAACCAAATACGTGAGTCTTTGACTCCCTAGGAGGGCTGGGGTTCAAACCTCACCAAAGGTGAGGAGGGTGTGTGAGTTTATTTGTTCTATTTGCCGTATATAAATATTATATACTTTGAAAGAAAGAAAGAAAGAAAATCATGCCCAGAATTACAAGATAAAAAGCAGACTCCTTTTTGGTTCTTTAACCACTCATTATCTACTGTGTAAAAAGTAACTGTAACTGTGTGTTTCTAGGTGCATCAGGGTGTGTGTATCTGCAACACCGATTATGAGTAGAAAATGCAGGACCCATGAATCTTGAACAAGTCTTCTTTTTTTCTGGCTAATGAAAGCGGTAACTTTTGCCAATAATGTTACACAAAAAGTAGAATGCACCATTGATGAACTGGTTAGCATTCTTTGATATCACAATATATACACTTTCTGGAACCAAATGAGGATGAAAACTGGCTTACTTATCAAGAAACAATATGGCTGACTGGCTGGCTGGCTGGCCATTCATTCTTCTTTGATGAAATGAGCTGTCAGAAGCTTTGAAACTGTGAACCCAATGAATGTATCGACTTTAAATAGTTCCCTTAGCTTATCATCACATAAAATCCTCCGTTTGTCCGATGGATCCTGTGGAGGCATAATAAGCAAGAGGAACATATGGAACTTGCTCAAACACAATGGTTGTAGCGACTATTTAGATTTTAATTATCAAGTTACTCGTGAGTTATGATAAGATATTAATAGCTGTGGTTTAGTTTCCTTAACGATAACACCATGATAGTTTTCTTCAAAACATTAAGGGTGTGTTTGGTATCCAGATAGGATAGGACAGAACTATTAGCATGTGGTAAGTCGGGCAGGACTGATAAATGACCAATTTACCTCAAATGAGTTGTTTGTATATTTTATATATTTTGATTAGTTTTAATTTATGTAATTTATAAAATTATAATAAAATAAATATTTTTTATGAAAAAATATATCAAAAGAAAGTTTTTGTCGAGACGATTAAAATGACACCAAAATAAGAAGTTTATGTAATTTCCAAATTTTATTTTATACCTTCTCTAGATTATTTTATTATTATTTATATTCAATAAATTACATAAATTAATCGAAATATAGAAACCGTATAAAAAATATTATGATAGTAAAGTGAAAGTTCAAAGAGCATAAAATACAACAAATAAAATTTAAAGAATAAATAAAATGTAACGAGGAAAGCGTATTTGATGTTTTAGAAGAGACTTAGGTTTCATTTTGAGGTTATATTGGTAAAATATAGGTCTATCCCACCTTGTTCCATTTGGTGTGGGTGGAACACGACTGTTCCACTCTGTACCTGTATATTCCACATAAAAGTCCTGTCAAATCAAACGTGGAACAGTGATCCCTATTTTGTTCTGTCATGTGTTACTGTGTACCAAATTGCTTATAAGGTGGAACTAAGGCAACATACATGTTCTTTTAATATTAATAATTTGGTCATTGTATTTCTACAATTATAACTAATTTGGCCATTGTTTTACTATTATCCATTTCAATGTTTAATCTTCAAGTTTCTTTTTAAAAATCCCTAACTAAATTGAACTTCTATGGGTAGGAAACTGCAGTAGACATTTTAACAAAGTTGCATATGCATTTTGTAAGGGTTTAACATGTAACAAGAACGTCTTTAGAGTCAAATATAACTCTTGTATTCAGAAAATGCATGCACAAAAGAATCAAAATTTAACATGAAATAAGTGTAAAAAGACACCTGAAGATCATTCTGCTTGATATATTCCCACATTCTCTTCACGACTTCTGCACGAGATAATTCATTTTCACCCGTACCAAAGAATTGCACCAGTGCTTCTGATATTGGATGTGGAGAAACAAATCCAGAACCCTTTGCTTTTTGCCGCTTTCCCTTTTCCTTTGGCTCATCTGAAAACGAGTAGACAAAAGTTGGTGATATTTCTAGGAAAACGGCCTAAATTACATCTAGTATTGTTCAAGTATGCTGCCAAATAGTAGCGAAGGCATGATATCTAAAAGCTGACATTACCTTCTTTGCCTCGTTTATTCTGCTTGTTCTTCTCTGTAGGCTTGACTGAAGCTGCAGCTTCTGAAGAAACAACTTTTGTCCATCTTATTAGAATATGATTTTGCAAAGCGAAGATTACAACATAATGCGAAATAATTATAATAATATGATTCTCTCCAGACTTGAATTCTATTGTAATTATCTGAGAAAGTATAATCAAATATTCATCACAGAGTTTCCGGTTTGATCACATGAGTTGATTGATCTTTATATACCATAAATAGGAAGGTAATGCCTTTATTAATCATTAGTATATAGAAAATATTTAATCAGTACTAGTGTGCGACGTATAACAAAAGGGATGGACAGCTAAAGGTAATACCATCTTCCTCTTCTATTGGCCATATATGTTTGGTAAGCGCTTTATTCATTTGGAACATATCAATGGACTTGACACGAAAAATTTCATGTAGCATTTCATCGCATAGGATTTTCCGCCTGTTCTGTGGATTTTGCAAATCTTTCTCTTTGATATAAGCCCAAATCTTCTTGACCACCTAAAGAACAAACAACTAGAAGTCAGTTGGATTCAAATTTAGAAGCATACTTTTAAGAGAAATAAAATAAAAGCATATTGTAACGTACCTCAGTTCTGGCCATTTCAGGCTCTCCGACAAACTTTTGAAGTTGGGGAGAAAGTGCACATGGTTTGCTAAAACCCCCTCCCCTTTTCTTTGCATTTGCAGGCGTCTTCTTGTGCTTGCTTGATAAGACAATTAAACTACATCAGGAATATTAAGCAGCAACATGTGGATCTCAACTCCACCAAAAAAATTGAACTGCTCTTAATAGAAAATGGTTTACAAGGTTATACAAAACAAAGTAAGGTAGCTTTTCATAATCAACTAACCGACTTAAGCATTGTAATTGAAAGTTGTCATAAACTTTGTAGTGCTAGCATGCATTTTTAATGTTGTTAATTCTACATTCTTTATTCTTTTTCCTGGTAAATATTGAGAGAAAAATATTTAGCATTGATAATCGAAGGAAGGAGAGTACTCTATGTTGGTTGTGATAGATATCTCACATGTGATTGCAATTTATGTGGTGAAATGATGTCCATAAATAACACTACGCGTCATGTCTCTGTAGTACTCAGATAATAATCAGATTTCATTATCTTTGGAGATAAATCATGATTCATCAGCAAAGCTTTGTTTGTAACAAGATTATCATGAGGGATCGCAATATCCAGGCAAAGAATAATGTTATCCTGATGTTATTTAGGTTTAATCTAGGTTATAATTGGGCAGAGTCCGTCTAATATTGGATTATATTTAGCACATGGGTATTTACTATTTAGGTTATTTAGGATTAGTAGTTACATTTATTCATTAACCAAATTTTGGGTTTTGAACGTCTTTCTTGTTCTCTAAAGTAGTATTAAGAGTTCCACACATTATAAAAAGAGTTAGTAAAACCCCATGGAAGAAGAACATAATGAAATCATTTAGAACTTTTTACTTAAAAGTATGTTTCTTTGTTGGGGTGAATTTTGGAAAATGAAGCCTTTATCTTGGGGGTGAACCCCAAGATTCTAGTTTTTTTTGGTGTGAAGCCTAATAAACCTGGTTCCTTCTATCATTTCCCTCCGATCTTATCTTTTGACCTCTCTTGTGTTAGGGTGGCTACAATCACCAAAACTCACCTTCAGGCTTCAACATCATCTAAAGTATGTACCAAACTACTAATACTTGTTAAAAATTCAACGTATGAGCTTATGAGAACAACAAACCCATACAAATTGATATTGTCTTTAAGATGGCCAAGGTTTTCCCTACACTCTAATAAGTGTCTCATTTAATTAGTGGTCCACCATTAACTAGTTTATAATTTAACAAATGAAATTATGTTTCGTATTGTTTAATTGGAATTAATACCTTCATGAATACGGTTTCAAAGTGGGAGGATTCCTTTGATTTAGTGAGCAGCTCAGCTTCCTCAATAAGTGTTGGCGGTCAATGAGGGAAAAAGTTCAAGAATGGAGGAAGCAACTAAAAGTAACCAACTAAAGAACCCTGTTATGGAATTGAGTGCTTAATGGGTGCCAAGAAACCAAGTTTAACTGCACAAATTGAACATGATGCAAAGGCACAACTCGTACAAACTGTGCTAGTTTCCAAAATTAGTCTAAGCGAATATAACTATTGACAAATTTATGTAACTAGTAAGGTTTTGAATCAAATTATTAAAAAGACAAATGTACTATCAATCATTTTCCAATTCGATAAACAAAGAGGATGATAGACAAATAATTTTTCGAACTTGACAAGGAAAAAAGTCCAGAGGGGACCAAGCTTAGTTTTCATGCCATAATGATTATGTTATTTATGTGCCACATTAAATATCCAGCTAAAATTCGTATCAAAATCGTTAATTGGAGGGCAAAGACGAATTCTGAACCCACAAATGAACTATAGGACATTTGTCTATTTGGTAATTAACCTTACCACATAATTGCCTCGATTATTAAATACAAACCTAATATAATGGCCAGAAAAGTTATTGTGCTCCATTACAAATTTCTATTTCTACTTCTTTCCTGAACTTAGACTTGTATGAAGTCTTCTTATCTATGTATAAGCATATATATAGATATAGAAACAAAAGTGGCAGTTTGTGTAGCTGTGAATACTCCATAGACGTGGTCTAGCAAGGGAAACTACTAGACATTGAATTTTCATTCATCTTGAATGTTAGCCGACTCATTGGCCTTTAGCATTAGCTAGAGCACAAGGATATATTTTATAATGGAATGATTAAAGATCTCATTTGATTAAAAAGCGATATCTATCCTCAATGTCCCTTTTCTATAGCTAATTGAACCACCTAATCTTTAGTGAAAATCTACCTAGCATCAAGAGACTTCACTTGTTTGGAGAATTCCTTTTTTGCAACCTCCACATGATTTCAATATAATCATATCACAATCCCATAAAACATCCATTGTTTCAAGAGCAAGAAGAAAAAACCAAATCAAACCAAACGAACACAATGTATCCTATTCGGAGTTGGAATTTGGGGTGGAATGTATGCAGGCTTATCCCTTACCCCAAAGGAGTACTTCAACCAACCCCAAAAAGTACAACGGTTGTTCCCATGAAGGCTTTGGTTGAAACTTGTAAGCTAATTGCTTCATTGGTTCTCTTGTTTTCTAGTTTTTCACATTTTCTACCTTCTCATGATCAAGAGTCAAGAGGAAGATGATAACTACCAGATAGACATCCAGAATTTCATCAATTTTTTAGGTCTTTACACTATGTTTGGCTCTTCTCAATAAACAAAATCCAAAACTACATTTAGAATCATCATAAACTATAAATGGTAAACAATATCAATATCGAATTACAACGTATATTAAAATTTGGGAAAGTTGATTAAAACGTAAGATTCTATAATAGGGCAACTAAATCAGGTTCACATGAATAAATGCAACAACATAACCCCTGTAAATTAAACAACAACATGTATATATATAGATAGATATATGTATGTATGTATATATAATACACTCACCTGTCTATCTTTATCTTCTCGGCATCGGAGTCTTCCTCTTCTTGGTGTTCATCTTCTTCTTGAGAGACACTTCCATCATTATCACTCTCTTCTACCTTGGCATCCTCCGATTCCTCTGCCTCGGGTTTATCATTAGTATAGTGAGATTGAAGATACAAATCGATTTGTTGTCTAATGTAGGGTTTCCTGTCTGATAAATCAATACCCAAATCTTGCTCGATTCTACGGCGGACGGTGGCGGCAGTGGCTGTATCGAGGTCGGACGTTCCCAGGACATCGTGGAGACGTTTGAGCAAGTCGGAATCCGTCAACATTTTGGAGATGGAGATGGAAATGGGGGATTGTATTGATGGAAGAGTAACCCTCAAGGGTTTGGCAAAGGAGAATGGTATGAAACTAGGTTAAGTGGGGACATGACATTCTCCAAGACCAAGACTGCAACTGCAACTGCAACTGCTACACATTCAACAAATCTTTTATAGGGTGAACAACATAAATATGTCTCTTCCATCTTTCCTTCACCTCCGCCCCTTTCTCAAATGTTTTTTTCGATACCCAATTCCCATTCATCTAAGCTTGGTTTTTTAATACGGGGAAGAGTTACAAGTAGATAATTACGAAAAAAACACTAACATATTAATATTACATATACAGTAGACTTCTATTTTTTCTAACTCCCTCTTATTTGTGGATTAATGAAAGGAGTTTGGAAAACATTTGCATTTTAGTACTTTCTATATATATATTTTTTTTCAAATATGGTTTTAGGTAACGATTTGGTAAACAAATATATTACATTCTCCTCACATCTTATTTGATTCAATTGAATCTTGAGTAGAGTTTTGTTATTGCTAATTGTATAAGAACTTAAGCAGAATATGTTTTGTGTTATCACTGTTGATGTATCTTACTTTCATTTTTTCGATACATGATGCACTATTTCCACATATGCATGTAGGATAGTGGTTGAACTCAAACTACTAAGCCCTGTAATATATGTAATAATAGTCCTTAACCATCTACACTCTCGAAATCATGTGGAGCAATTCTTGGAATAGTTTGAAGAGGTAGCTAAAGGGTTTGGAAAATCCTTCTCAACTGTTGCTATTGCCCTAATAAGTTATTTCAATGATTATTTTAATTTATTTTTTGTTTAAAAAAATAATTTTTTTAAATAATAATTAAGTATTTTATCAGAATTCAATGATTATCTTAATTATATTTTAATTTTTAATTTGCAAAAATTTAACCTAAACTTTTTATTTAACAAACGTGTATCGTAGTTTGTGCTATTTTTATTTATTTATCTTTTTCCATTTTTATATTTAAATTATTTCTAACAAATTTTAAAAAAATTGTATTTATGTCTAATAAATTTTTTATTTCGAAGGATACGAATATTGATTATAATATTAAAAAATTTCATTCATCTATTAAAATATTTTTTTAATATTTATTTTTAAAGTTTTCTATTGACGAAATATACTAAAATATCTTTCACATGGTACTCGTTTCTTGGGATGTTCTTCATATTTGGAAGAAAAAACCTTCTATTTTCGATTTTATTTATTTTGGAGAATCTGTTAGAGATACTCTTTAACATTCCAGATAGAAGAGTGAATTATACTGGTTGTCCTTGTAGTCTGCTCAAATTTTGGATTTGGTATTTATACTGATGGTTCCTAACTTTATAATTTCATAACATTCAATGTCTCTAGAGTTAACACCATTAATTAGCAACGGTTAGGAGAGACAGATTTGTCTTTAAGCAAACTATAAGGAACAAAAACGTAATTTACTCTAAAAATTAATTGTGATTATCTTTTTAAGATTCTTTATTAAAAATAGAGTAAAATACACTTTTGGTCCAAGTGGTTGGCACCCACTATTAATTTAAAATTATATATATATATATATATATAGAGAGAGAGAGAGAGAGAGAGAGAGAGAGAGAGAGAGGGGAGAGAGAATGGGAGGTTCAGATGAAAATCTCAAAAGATGAAAATAAGAAACATCTTAGTAACCGTTCATCTGCACGTTATGTACATGTGTCAACTGGTAATTGAAGTTGTTTCTTGGTTTTTATGCATGTGTGCATGTTATGCACATATGCATACTAGTAATTGAAGTTGTTTCTTGATTGTCATGCACATGTACATACCGTCCAGATGAACGAAAACTAAATTGTTCCTCATTTTTTTTTTGCGATTTTACCCTGAATCTAACACTATATATATATATATATATATATATATATATATATAACATTTGATAAAAACATTTAAAAAATATTTTTATACATGAAATATTGTTTATTGATGCATATTAATCAAAGTTCAAGATTACAAGTAAATTGTATGTAAATACAACTTATTAAAACTTCATTTTAAAATCCATGTAACTAACTAAAGATTAAAATAATCAAATAGAGAATAAACATTTCATTTTTAAATATAAAAAATCTAAAATATAATTAGGATAATTGTTAAGTTCTAACAAAATACTTAATTATTGTTTTTATAAAAAAATTTATTATTAAACCAAAAATAAATAACTTCGTTATTAAATATAAAGAAATTGAATTAAAGAAATTACACAAAAAATGAGAACTTTTAAATAGTTAGTTTGGTACTAATATCAATATATTTTTTCAAATTTTCATAATATCTTCAAACATATATTTTATTCAAAAATAAAAACATTATCGTTTTCTGAAAATCACATAAAACCGTATTATATCAACGACTGTACCAAAAAAACCGAAGCATTAAAATAAGATATATATGACTGCATTGTGGGAGTTTCCTTCTAGTATACACACACAAAAACGAATGTCTCTTCTTCCCCCTTAGACCACCCTGTCGAAACTCAGAACCCCTCTATCGATCACCTCCTTCTTCTCCGGCAATAGCCTTCACCGTTGGCCACCCCGTGATCCAAGGTACCCAACCAACCAAACACGACCTGCTTTATGTGGGTCTTGTATTGTGTGTCCATAATTACTGATCAATCTTCATAATCTTCATAATCAACAATGGCAGATTCATAATTTCATTCAAGAACACCAAAAACAATGTTATGAATATTGAGAGAGAAAGTCAAACATGTAAGCTCTGGTCAAACTCTCTATTATCAATGTGTAATACAATTAATACAAAGTCAAAGTCAAACAAAGATTACCAACCTATTTATATGGTCAACATATTAATACAAAGTCAAAGTCAAACTAGTCTAAGAAAGTCAAACACGCTGACTTTTACAATTATAGACTAAAATTAATCTTTCAAGACGAATACAATTAATACTGATTTTTCAGTCCTAACATTCTCCCCCTTTGTATTTAGACTTAAAAGAAAATTCTGCACGTTGAGTCCTGTTTGAACTTTGAAACAATATGCACAAAATGTCATCTTCAAAAGAAATCTTCAACTTGTAATCTTCAAACGATCAAATGTTGATAAAGATCTTCTAGCACTCCCCCTCGAATGTAGAACCAYGGTGATCTTCTCTTTTGACAATGTAAATCAAAAACGATCTTCAGAAACACTTTACAAGATGTGATCTTCAAAGAATCTTCAAAATCAAACTTCAGTAAACTATTGTGAAAATGATCTTCACATTCAATATCTCTCAGTCGTTGAAGCACACAAATAATCATTTTTAAACATCTTCAGTCGCACTTCTTCTTTTGAGTCTTTTGACAAATTCGAAGTTACTCCCCCTTGAT